CTCCTGCTGCTGTTCAGAAAACTAGCCCAGAGACTTTGGAGCCGGACTCCCTGCCCCAGGACACCCTCTGAGTGGGGGCAGCTGTCCTGGGGCTCTGGTGGGCAGGGCTGGGCAGCAGGCTCCAATCCCTGTGGTCAGACTCCACTTCCTGGACAAAGACACCTCAGGTGACTTAGCTGACCAGCCCGGGAGCTCGGAAGCAAAGGGTGACCCACCTGACACAGTGACAGAGTTTTGTGGGAGGCGCCAAGCACAGCCAGGGGGGCTTCCTGCCGCCTGCCTTCCTGGAACAGGCGGGCAGCGGGCTCTTCCTGTTTTGAAGGCAGCCAGGACCCTGGCTCACCGGGCTGTGGGGATTTCCTAGGGGGCATCAGACAGCTGCCTTCCTGGCCAGAGGCCGGAGGTCACTTCCAAGAAGCTGTGTATGTTCCGTCTGCTGCTGGCCGGAAAATGTCTGTATGGGTGACCCCCAGGACTCCAGCAGAGGTGGATGAAGGAACAGCAAAGGAGCTGCAGGCTGCCTGGCCCCCCCAGTCCAAATGCTCATGAGGCCCGAACTTTCCAGAAAAAGGCGCCCTGGTGTTACAACGGTTAAGTGCTCAACTGCTAATCAGAAGGTCGGTGGTTTGAACCCGCCCGCGTCTCCATGGGAAATAAGATCTAGGAAACCCTATGGGGCAACTGTGCTCTGTCACATGGGGTCCCCAAGTTGCAATCACTCAGTGGCACCAACAACCAGAAACCAGTGTCCCAACACCCAGACAGTACCCTGGTGCAGCAACTCCTGTCTATCCACCCAGTACAGGGGGCTCTCTTAGAGCAGGCCCCTCAGGGTCCATCTCCCCTGAGGGCAGGGTGGTACCCACTGCCTCTCAGGATGAGCCTATCCCGGGCTGGGCTAGGGGCTGAGCCCTGCGCAGGAAGGTGAACACTGGGTATCCGCCCTCCAGAGCGCCAAGGCCCTGTGGGAGGGGCTGAGAGCCAGCCAGACCAGAACCTCAAGGCCACCCAAGGAGGGTGGGAGCACCTCTAGCCCCACTGTTCTCAAGACTGCAGTCCCTACTCACCGGGGCTCCCGCGTCCAGATCCGTCTCAGCTGTAAGCTGGCATCAAGGTTTTTCTAGGAGGCAAAAAGGACAGATGAGTTACCCCACAAGACTGGCCTGCCTGGTCTTCCTCCTCCTCCTGGGGGGTGGAGGGGAGCCCACCACCCCCAGACCCCACCTGACTTCCACCGTCTGGGAGCAGGGGGCCCCAGCCTCCTTTGTCCCCTCAGCCCAGCACTGACACCCACAGCATCTTTCTAGAAAATGGTGGGAGAGGCTCCCCTCTGTTCAAACTGCCCCCCCACCCTGGAGGGGGTAGGGAACAGCCTGTGTTCATTGTTTCTTTTTATAATCTGCCTTTTTTAAACCAAGTATGCGTATTACTCTGATTAAAAATGCTTCTTGAAAAATGTGCATGCATACCCCAGGACCCCCGCATCTCTACTTACTAGCTGGGTGACCTTGGGCAAGTTACTTAACTTCTCTGTGCCTCCATTCCTCATCTGTGAAATGGAGACAATAGTGAGCTCTTCCCAGGGTTTCTGAGGGCTGAATGAATTCATTGATGAAAAGCCCTGGAAGCGCCTGTTACACTGTAGCTTCGCTTGCTATTGTATCCCCTCCCGCCTCCACAAACGTGGAGGCACTCACTGCCTGGTTTGTGACAAGGCAAACACTGGAAGCCGCATGTGCTCTTCAGGAGAAAACGTGGACCATTGTGCAGCACAAGAGGGGCAGGTGGTCTCACCACCCTCAGGGAAAGGCTAGGGCAGGACTTCAGCTACCCCAGCCCTTC